CGTACTACTGATGCATGATGCACACATGTATTTTAGATTCATGGTGTGGGTACGTATATGTGTACATTCGTGCGTGAGTATAAATCTGTATATACAAGTATAGATGTTAATGTGTATGTCTGGTTATCTTATATCATCTGTTAAGTGTAGTCTACCCTGGTTAAGTTGGACTTAACCTATGTATGACACTCTACACTGGGCAAAGTATACTATCATACGAGTTCCTAATCTCGGTAGCAACTCGGTAAAGTGCAGCAGACTATATAGGTACAGCTAGATCCAGCTTGTTCGATCAGCGCACGAGACTTTTTATCACCTTTTGTAAAGTGCAGAGAGAGTTCCACAAGAGTCGCTCTCTCTTCACTCTCCCACTCTCTCTCGCGTCCTCTCTCCTCTCTTCTCGCTCTCTCTCTCTCTCTCCCGCTCTCCTCCCCTCTCTCTCGTCCCTCTCTCCTCTCTCTCTTCATCTCTGCATGAGTCTCTCCTCATCTCTCTCCTCGCACTGGTATCGCGTCTACAGCAGCTCTATCTGAGCTTCAGTTCTGCCTCGTATAGCAGACGCTCATCTCTTATCATTCATCTCTCAGGGCGACGGTCTGTGTATATCGATCAGCTCTCTCCCTCGCTCTCTCTCCTCCATCTCTCGGAATCCCAGCTCTCTCTCGCATCTCTCTCACCCCATCTCATTCTCTCTCTCTCTCTCGTCTCTTCATTCCGGCACACCCCGCATACTGATACATTACTGTGGTCACGCCAGTGTGGGTGCAGCAATCAGTAGTGTACTAGTAGTAGTAGGTCTTCCCTCTCTTCCCATATATACACAACTCTTACACAAGTCTATCAGTTAACACTTAACCAGCCACTGACACATAAATGTGTCCAGAGCCTCCTAAGTCCATAAGAATTTATATGGGGGTTAAGTGTTATACTTTTATATCTTATTTAAGCAGATACCATGGCATCCAGGGTTTACACTTAATTAAACTAGGAGAATATAGCAACATCTTTTGGTGAACAAACTGCAAGCGAGTCTGAAATTAGTGTGTTTAGCACATTAGCAGAAAGAGTATTAAAAAAAAGTAAGAAAGTGACGAAAACTAACTATCCCAACCTTAATGATAATCTTTACAAGCTCAAGCATAGACATAACATACCATACTGTGTTGTAACACAAGAGACAGTTAACCGGATGCCTATAGCCTTGAGAACAAAGCGATCGCGTAAGTTTGACTTTTTAACTACTATCTGATTTCCAATAGTCCACATAGTCGTCACTACTCTACTTACAATCACGACGACACAATTCAAAGATTATTACCTGATAACACCCTGTATATACGCGACTACCCTCCAAATACCCTCGAGAACGCGTCAGGATATGTACATGTCGTGTTTCGTCTCACCACCGCCGATATGCACCGCCTATGCCTGACAAGCATACGACAGTCATTGCCCTCGTGTGTATTGGAATGGTGCGTTCTCACACATCTGTTCCCCTGGGTCGGGTCTGTGTGCAGGTGTCAACAGGTGTTGAGTCGATTATCCGCCGTTCCGGTTGGTAACATGACAGCCATCTGCATAATATACTAACGCAATTGGACGCCGGCCGGCGCCGTGCCTGTCACACGTATCACAAAGTAGTTGTGAGTTAATTTTTTGATCCCATACAAGAGTTTGTGGGCATATACAAGCCTTTGGTATAAGCATCTGCTGTCTTTGATTTAGCTTCTATTCCTCAGAGTGTGTCCATGTGACAAGTAGTTTTGAGATTAAGTTTTGGATCACCTTCAACAATTAATGTGTCCTGTGGAGAGCATGATACAGTCGCTATCTGCAGGTACTTGTATTTTTAAGTCTATAAGTGATTTGTTTGCCATCGAAACTTTCTTACCTCTCCTCGATGATTTAACATCGCTCACATGTACAGTGTGTGTGTACACAGCACCCCTTACTAGCGTTTGTTATAGAAATTGTCTTGCAGAGAGAAGAGAGAGAGGGTGTAGGGCAAAAAGTGTTTATTATTCAGAGCATGGGGTACCAGGATTATATCTGTACTACTCTGATTTTTATCTTGGTGCACTCGGTGTCTGTGGTGATTGCTGGTCTCCATCTGTCCGTGGGTTGTGATATGTTTTCGGGTGTTGTTCGTGCGCTCCCTTTTGTGCTAGTTTTCTGTCCACGCAGCCATTCTCTAAACATGCTCCTCTGGCACTGTTTTCTCCACTACTCCTCGCTCCACTTCCCGCGCCCCTTCCCGCTTTCAGCACTCTTTCATGTCTGCCTATCCCCGCTACTCGATACTCTTGATCATAATCTCGATACTCCTACGCTACTCCAGTGTCCCGCTGACTATCTGTCTATAGAATGTACTGTACTGACCTGTGTAATGGGTTGTCTAATGCTGCACTGACTGTCGATAGACTTACTGATTGTCTATACATAGATATTCTGACTTTCTATGAACTAAAGACTGTATTGACTTATTCTATTCGTATAGATGTACTGACGACTACATACTGGATACTATGCATCACAGTGCAAACTACAGGTCATAAACTGTTGTAGTGTTTATGCAGTAACAGATAGAAGAGTGTGCGGGCATGTGAGGATAATGTATGTACGACAAGGGTGATCATGGAGGGATAATACGAGGCTAAAATGAATGGTATTAGAGTGCTAAATATAGTTAGTTCTGAGATTGGTTGCGGGAGTTATGCTCTTCGTTACTCCCCTTGTTCGCTGCTTTCGGGCGCCTCGTCTCCCCTATCCCTTTCTTTACGGGCCTCCCTTCGTCTCTCGTTCCTCTGAGCCTTTTCTTTCTTGCTGCTCCTATTCTTTCCGACCCCTTTGTCTCTCTTTCTTTGTCTCCATCTTCTCCCTTTCCTCTTAGTCTCTTCTCCCTCTCTTTTAAGATGTGTAAGGTCTGTGGATGAAGCCTGGGGCCCACTGGTGCAACCGATTATGGGAAATGTAGGCACTTACAGCCACTTTAAATTTGACCCAGTGCTGTGACAAAATAAAGACGCCCTGTTGCTGTGGGGGGACCGAGAAATTGGTTTACAATAATTCACATACGCATACACGCGTACTAAGTGTGGCAAATGCCGAGTGGGCTGTGTGCCTTTCGCTCTAGTGTCACTCTGGCAGAGGTTGTAATACCACACTCTGTGCAACAACGCACACCAGAAACAACACACACGCACACACAACTAACCACACTGCCTGTGTACATGTTCTGTTATGTTCATAATACGTGCCCACATGCATGCATAGTGTGAAGACAAATGGGAATTTTATTGGTCGAAAATCAGTCACAATTATCGCTAAAAGGTAATCCTCTAGAAAGTACGCGTGTACAAACCCCAACTTCGTACAAAAACTTTCACTGTTTGATTTTAACTTCATTTTTTTGACAATTATTAAATAGTCTTTAATTTATTATTTAATTCACTTTGTTTATATTAATTTATTTATGTTATTTGATTAATTTATCCTTTTATATGATTTTCCTTTCTTTTTAATTTTACCCCTTCCCCCCTTCCCCCTCACCCCCTTTCCCCCCATTTCTTTTTTCTCTTCTCTCCTTTTCTCCCTTCCTTTTTGCCCCTCACATCTTACTTTTCCCCCCCTTTTCTCGCACTTTCTCCCCTTTCCGTCTTCTTTTCCCTTTCTTTCCTTTCTCTTTTTCTTTTCTTTTGCCTCTCCTTCTCATTTTTCTCCTTTCCTTCCCTTTCTTTTCCTTTTTCTTTCTTTTCATCTTCCTTTCTTTTTCTCCACTCTTTTTCCTTTTTCCGTCCTTCTCCTCAATTTCCTTCTTCCCTTATTCTTTTTCCCCCTTTTCCTTTTTTCTCCACTTTTTTCCTTATTCTGTTCTTTTCCTTTCCTCCTTGTCCCCTTTCCGCTTTTATTTGTTTTTTTCTTGTTCTCTCTTTTCCCCTTCTCCCGTTCCTTTTCCCCCCTTTTTCTCTTTTCCCTTTCCTTTACTTCTTTTTTCTTTTTCTTTTTCCGTTTCTTTTCTGCTTTCTTTTCTTATTCTTTTTCCTTTCGTGTTTCCTCTTCTTTTCTCTATCTTTTTCCCTTTCTCTTCTCCCCTTTTCTTCCCTATTTACTTTGTGTTTTAGTCTGTTTTCTTCTTCCTTTTTCTTTTTCCATGCTTTTTTAACTTTCTTTTTCCTTTTTTTCCTCCTGTTTTTCTTCCTTTCTTTTTTTTCTCCCCCTTCCTTTTTTTCCCATTTCGTCTTTCATCCTTTTCCTCTTTGTTCCCCCTTTTTTACCCTTTCCTCCTCTCCCTTTTTTATTCTCCTTGCTCTCCCCCTCCCTCGGTTTTCCGTTCCTTCCTTTCCCCTCTTCTCCTTCCCCTTTTTTCCTTTTCTTTTCTTCTCCAGTCCCTCACCTTTCTTCTGCTTCTTCCTTTCCTCTCCTTCCTTTTTACCTTCCTTCTCTTCTTTCTCTCCTCCGCACCTTTCTCTTTTTTTTCTTTTCCTTTTCTCCCTTATCTCAATCCCGTCCCCCTTTTTCCCTTTTCCTTTTCTCCTTTTTTTTCCTCCCCCCCCCGCCCTCCTTTTCACTCCCCCTTTCCTCTCCTTTTTCTTCCTTTTCCCCTCTTCTTTCTTCTTTCCTTTCGTCCTCCCTTTTCTTTCTTTCTTCACTCCCTCTCCTTTTTCCTCTCTTTTCTCCCTCTCCCCCTTCCCCTGCTTTTCTCCCTTTTTACTTCCTTTCCTTCTTCCCTCCTTTCCCTCCTTTCTCTTTTTTTCCCCTTCCTTCTCTTTTCCTTCTTTCTTCCCTCTGCCACTTTTTCCCCTCTTTACCCTTTTTTCATTCCCCTTTTTTTTTCCTTCTTTCTTCCTTTCCTCTTCTTTTCTTCTTTTCTCTTCTCTATTTTCTTCCTTTTCTTTTTTTTTTCCTGTTCCGCTATGTTCTCCTTGTCTCTCCCACTTCTTCCTCCTTCCCCTCCCCTCCTCCTCCCCTCCCCCCTCCTCCCCTCCCCCCCTCCTCCCTCTCCCCCCTGCGGTGAAAATCTCCAGATAGTCAACAACAGTGACGGCGACTGGTGGCTGGCTAGGTCCCTCAAGACAGGCAGACAGGGATACATCCCCAGCAACTATGTAGCTGCACTCTCCAGCGTAAAGGCCAACGAGTAAGCATTCCAACGAGCATAATTTGCCCTGGTAGCTCAGCTCCAGCTGGTAGAGCACTCGCTCGTAGTGCAGTATCGTTGGTTTGAATCCCCACCCAGGGCAGCTCTTCTTTTTCCTTGGAAAAGATAATATTGTTCTAGAGTTAGGTTTTGTTTACTTACACATTCAGCTCTTAAACACTTAACCAGCCATAGACACAATAGATGTGTCATAGCTCACTACAGTCCTCAGAATCATGTTATGGTACTTGGCGCTAATGGTTTATACATACATCAATTTTTCGAGCAGATCCCCATGGTGTCCAAAGGGTTATATTTGCTGAAGTATTGCACGTGCATGTCATCTCATTAGAACCACACGGTTTCTCTAAAACCCAGAGTTGTGTGTGTGTCAGTTATACGTACTCAACTTTGATGCACAGCATCCAACAACGCACGTGCACATGTATGGATGCGTAATACAGATAACGATGCAGCTTTGGCGTGTGCAGTGTGTGCTACATCTTGTCTGCCAACATGCACTACTGTCTGTGTATGCAGTATTGGGGAGGAGAAGGCAGAAGAGACCTAACGCAATTCCCAAAGTCAAAAGCAACTCGAAAAACTTTGAGACAAAACCGACCCGAAAAGCCTCCAGACAGTATATGTAGTTGTGTAGGTAACTTTAGCTGAGACTGTGGTGGCAGCCTGATCTCTAGCTACGTAGTGGACAGAGAGTATATGTAGTTGTGTAGCTTTAGCTGAGACTGTGGTGGCAGCCTGATCTCTACTACGTAGTGGACAGAGATATGTGTAGTTGTGTAGCTTTAGCTGAGACTGTGGTGGCAGCCAGATCTCTAGCTACGTAGTGGACAGAGAGTATATGTAGTTGTGTAGCTTTAGCTGAGACTGTGGTGGCAGCCAGATCTCTAGCTACGTAGTGGACAGAGAGTATATGTAGTTGTGTAGCTTTAGCTGAGACTGTGGTGGCAGCCAGATCTCTAGCTACGTAGTGGACAGAGAGTATATGTAGTTGTGTAGCTTTAGCTGAACTGTGGTGGCAGCCTGCTCTCTAGCTACTGTTGGACAGAGAGTATATGTAGTTGTGTAGCTTTAGCTGAGACTGTGTTGCAGCCATATCTCTGCTACGTAGTGGACAAGAGAGTATATGTATTTGTGTAGCGTTAGCTGAGACTGTGGTGGCAGCAATCTCTAGCTACGTAGTGGACAAGAGTAATGTAGTTGTGTAGCTTTAGCTGAGACTGTGGTGGCAGCCAGATCTCAGTCTACGTAGTGGACAGAGAGTATATTTAGTGTGTAGCTTTAGCTGAGACTGTGTGTGCACCAGATCTCCAGCTACGTAGTGGACAGAGTATATGTAGTTTGTAGCTTTAGCTGAGACTGTGGTGGCAGCCAGATCTCTAGCTACGTAGTGGACAGAGCGTCATCTGTAGTTGTGTAGCTTTAGCTGAGCCTGGGTGCAGCCGATCTCTAGCTACGTAGTGGACACGAGAGTATATGTCGTGTGTAGCTTAGCTGAGACGGTGGTGGTCAGCCAGATCTCTAGCTACGTAGTGGACAGAGAGTATATGTAGTTGTGTAGCTTTAGCTGAGACTGTGGTGGCAGCCAGATCTCTAGCTACGTAGTGGACAGAGAGTATATTATACATGTGTGTAGGAGTCGGCCGTCTTTTGATGTGTACATTCCTGGGTTCCTTTGTGGCCAGATTAAACTTTAGATGACCTGCGTTTCCTTCACGTCCCTCCTGCACGTCCCTCCTCACGTCCCTCCTTCACGTCCCTCCTGCCGTCTGCACTCCTCACACGTCCCTCCTGCACGTCCCTCCTTCACGTCCCTCCTTCACATCCCTCCTTCACGTCCCTCCTGCACGTCCCTCCTTCACGTCCCTCCTGCACGTCCCTCCTGCACGTCCCTCCTTCACGTCCCTCCTGCACGTCCCTCCTTCACGTCCCTCCTGCACGTTTCCTTTTCGTCTATAATACACATCGTTTTGCTTCCTTTAGCCCCAGATTCTTACTCTCTCTCTTTTTGTGCTCACGGGATAGCAGTTTAATGCAAAATAACTATGCGAATGCCAAACAAGATTTCCAACCACAATTCCAATTGGTGCCCACCTCTTAAAAGCGTGAAGAGCATGGAATAGGTTTATTGTAACGTTTTCCACATGCACACGTATAATACTCGCGCATTTGGGTGATGGGCGTTGATTTTGCCTCCCATTTGTAACTACGTATCTGTGTACATTACTATATAGGCCCCCTTCGCCTTACCCCATTTCCCCCAGCTCAGTTGGTTTCCCACCGTCCCTCTCCCCTTCCCTCAGTCGGTTCTTAGTCAACTACAAGAAACGCTCCTCCTTCAACATATAGTCCTAACTTATCTCTCCCCTTCCCTCAGTCGGTTCTAGTCAAGTGCTCCTCCTATAACACAGTCCTACTTATCTCTCCCCTTCCCTCAGTTGGTTCTTTGGTCGTATCAAGAGGGTGGATGCGGAGAAGAAGCTGCTGCAGGTGGGCAATCAGACGGGGACCTTCCTCATCAGGGAGAGCGAGAGTGCACCCGGGAACTACTCCCTCTCGGTCAGAGAGGCCGAGACCGTTAAACACTACCGCATCAGGAAGGTCGACACAGGTCAGCTGCATATTATACATAATATGTATACCAAGTCTTTCGTACTTGATAAAGGGAATGTGGCAGTATAATATTAGGGCTAAATTTACGAAACTGAAACATAATTGCAATCTTGCAGTTGACTCTTATGGTTTAGTGCCATCTTTAAGTACTGACTTACATACTGTATATAGCTGTTCTCATGTCATTTATACATAGCTGTTGTCGGCTTACGATGAACTCAGAAGCTGTTTGTGCAAAGTGACTAGCTGTTGTGGTTTTATCACCACACAGTATTGCTTTCAGTTTGGTCTGCAAATGGACCTCCCACACTATATACACCACATCTCTGATAGGCTGAGTGCTTATCTCCCTTCTTACTGTCTTGTGTGTGTGTGTGTGTGTGTGTGTGTGTGTGTAGCTGACCCTACCACACATACACACCCACGTGGAAGAAATAAGCGCCCTGTATTATAAGCCGTACACTAGGAATGCGCACGCGCATATTTTGCCAATGCGTAAACACTCCCACTGAGGCCGCTCGTGCGCACGCTCTACTGACTGCGCGCGAAGCCAGACTTCCTACGAATCTGTGCGCACGGCAGAACAGAAGCTAGACTTCCTACGAATGACGGAAGTGACATTCCTAAGCATGACTAATTGACATTCTTAAGCGTGACGACACGTACGTATGTACGCATATCGCGAGAATACAACCCGGAATAGTTGCCTCACGCTAACGCGCTCGGCAATAAATTCTTATGGACTTATGGAGGCTCTGTACACATTTATGTGTCCGTGGCTGGTTAAGTGTTAATGATACAATCTGGTTAGTATATATACCTTATAGTCACTGTGTGAACATCGAAATCCTGGATACCCCCACACCACTCCATTAGCTCAACTTTTGTCGCTTTATGATAAACCCTGTCATTGAACTTTAATCTTGTGCAGTCATTTTCTCCCTCTCTCACACTTTTATCAGTTTGCCTCCTAAAGCACCTATTATTATAGACATTGTCCCCCTCTTCCCTAATAGGAGGTTACTACATAGCGGCTCGAAGTATGTTCACCACACTGGATGACATGGTACGACACTATCAGGAAGATGCAGACGGACTCTGCACCCGGCTCACCGTAATCTGCCCGAAACACGACATCGACATGCCCTCGACTGTCGGTCTCTCTTACAACACGAAAGACGAGTGGGAAATCGAGCGGTCGTCGATACAACTCAACCGGAAACTGGGCGCCGGACAATTCGGGGAGGTGTGGGACGGACTGTGGAACGGAACGACGGCCGTAGCCGTGAAGACACTCAAACCGGGGGCTATGGGCGTGAAGGATTTCCTCTCGGAAGCGCAGATCATGAAAAAGCTTCAGCACGAGAAATTGATCCAGCTCTACGCCGTCTGCACAAAGGGGGAGCCCATCTACATCGTGACAGAGTTGATGAAGAACGGCAGTTTGCTCGACTTCTTGCAAAAGGGCGAGGGTCGACACATGAAACTGCCTCAGCTAATTGACGTCGCTACGCAGACCGCGGGCGGTATGGCGTATTTAGAGTCCCAGCACTACATCCACAGGGATCTAGCCGCCAGAAACGTGCTCGTCAGCGAAGGGAACATAGTAAAAATCGCTGATTTTGGGCTTGCGAGAGTCATCATCGACAACGAGTACACGGCACGCGAGGGTGCAAAGTTCCCCATCAAGTGGACGGCACCCGAGGCAGCGCTCTACAACCGCTTCAGCATCAAGTCAGACGTCTGGTCGTTTGGGATCCTCATCTCGGAGCTGATTACCCACGGACGAATCCCGTACCCGGGCATGACAAACGGAGAAGTTCTCGCCAAGGTAGAGCAGGGTTACCGCATGCCACCACCCCCAGGGTGCCCCGACCCCCTCTACCAGACCATGCTCGACTGCTGGAAACCGGAACCGGACGAACGACCGACGTTCGAGTTTTTGAAGTTCCACCTGGAAGACTATTTCGTGTCGGCAGTGAACGATGAGTACAAAATGATCACATGATACCAGTTTAACGCTTCTTAGCACAGTCGATTATTATTGTAAAACTCTTCACGTTTTACACATGCACATGTATAATAGACAGTGTTATGCCCGCATTATAGACTACGAGATAGAGCCAGTGTGTTTTTGTTGTCTTGTTTGTGTACTTATTTGGTGTTTGTTTCTGTTTATTGTGACGACTGGTATTAACGACATATTGGCCTAATTTATTTTATTGTGTGCGTATGTATGTACCTCTTGACATGCTGTGGACATAAAACAAAAACAGGACGTGTGTATATACCGTTTAGAAAGTGTATAATTATTATGTCTCTTTGTTTTCATCACTTTTCACATCGGAACTTTTTGTCGTTGCAAAGCTATGCCAACTTACGGTTATATACACCAGGAAAGGGGGCCGTGTGAAATTATTTTGGGAAAGATGGCTGCAGGTTCTTGTCTTTTAGATGGACTGCACATTATTTACAGTAAAACCTTAATACCACAAACCTGGGAAAATTGGAAAAAGGTGTTCATACAGGCCTCGTCAATATGCATGCGCAATCGTGCAAAACTTTCACTGGAGGTTGAAGGGTATATAGATCTAGACATTCAAAAGAAATCACACCATAATCACAGGAATCACATGAGCTATATATACACAGTACAATAGAAATCAAAAAAAATCATGGGCGGTTAAAACAATTGTGGGCCAACCAGCAGCTACACAACAAAACACATGTATACTATGTCTTGAAAACAATGGTAGTAGAGAAAACTCAAGTGGGAACAGAAATTTCAGGATTACATATAAAGTTGGAAATGTTTAGTGAAGAGTGGACATGTAGCCATTGTCAAGGGGGACACAGTCGGACATTCCTGTGATAACGAACTCAAATTTGGGTCTCAGAGTTGGCTGCGACCTCCAGCAACTAGACAAGACCTCGTAGAGTTGCTCCGGACAATCGATCAACTGGGACCTCGGCATTCTGTAGCCAGCGTTGACCACCATCCACTTGAGCTGTTCCCTGCACTCGACGTCAGAGTACGGGAGTTTCCCGTTGGTCAGCACCTCTGTCAGAAGGATGCCAAACGACCAAATGTCCGACTTTGTCGAGAAGTGGCCAGACTCCAGTACTTCCGGCGGGTACCAGCGAGTGTGTAGCTCTTCTACCGGGAGCTGTAGTACGGTCTTTTCGCCGGGTAGAATCTTGGCGTATCGAAAGTTGGCTATTTTCGGGATGTTGGTCTCGCTAAGAAGCACATTTTTGGCGCAGACATTGCGGTGGATGCAGAGCTGTGAGTGGAGATAGTCGATCCCGTACGCCATTTGAACCGCCAGATCAATCTTCTCTCTGAACGAGATGCAGCGACCGCCACCTTCTCTGAGATGGTACAGTAGACTCCCGTTGCCCAGACACTCCGAGACAACGTACATCGGCTCCCGCGTCGTGGAAACCCCGTATAACTGGACGACGTTTTGGTGGAGGAACCGGTGAGTCATGTCTGTCTCGTGTATGACGTC